TTGCTGGACCCGAATCAAATAAATCTTTATTATGCCATAATATCTCTTCGACCTGCTGCTTTTGTTTTGGATGTTCGATGTGCTGTGTGAGATTTTGAATGTGTCTACGGACTTCTTCCGAATAACATGATTCTCGAAGGTGTTTTTGGAGGTCATTTCCGGTGAGAAAATTTTGTTGGCATTTATAACACTGTGTGTTCCGATTTGGAAATGAGTAGTCCGTGGTGGTCTTGACCGCTCCTACTCTCGATGACAACTGGTTACGATCTAAGAATCCAACAGGTTTTAGAGTTGTAGGAGATTTCCGACGTGGTTGTTGCATGGTAAGACATACTTCAAACGTTGGATATCTATTTATTATGCCAGTTTTCGAATTTTTGGATAGGGTACGTTGACGATCCTGAGCATTTATGACGAGGATTTTTGCCGTATGATCAGTGACGTTTAGCAAGGTGTTAGGGATGAATAAAAATTTTAAGAGATAATTTGTAATAGGCTGGAAAATCAAGTTCTCCGCCCCAGAGAGTTGAACTTTGATGTCCACGAGTTGTGGAGAATTCGGAGGAATGGTCACTTGATTCACGGGGAAGACTGGGTAGTTAAGGTCAGGTGAAGCGATATACGGGAATGAGATAAGTTGTCCGTTTTTTGCTGGGATTGTCAGGCGTTGTTCATCGCCGAGTAAATGTACGTGATTAGGATTTATCCAGTCATTTCCGAGGAGAAGAGATGTGATTAGATTTGTTGCGACGTCTGCTATTATGTAGGTTTTAATTTTTTCAAGTTTAATTTCCAATTCCACTTGAACGATGATGTTGATCGATGAAGAGTTAGCTGCTTGACAGTCGGTTTCTTACCGATGAATTTTCGATGATAAAGAGTCCTTAGAAGATTTTGGTGAATTATCGTGATGGCGGACCCAGTGTCGACGATCGCATATGTTGATTTTCGGTTTACTTGGACTTTGATATAAATTGGAGAGGTTGATGTTGCTATTGATGGCTTCTCAAGTTTACTGGGGACACCGCCACCCCGTGACATAGCGATTGAAAAGACGGTGGATTCGTACAATCGCGGACTGAATGATTCTGTCCGCAATTGAAACAGCCTGATGGATTTTTGTGATAACAATCAATGGCACGATGGTTCTTTTTTCCGCAAATTTTACAGGGAGTAAATTGAAACGATGACGAAGTTTGTTTAGTCTGATCCATCACGGGTTGTTTCGTTGTCAATTAACTAACTACGTGTGACCTTTTTACCACCGCAATTTTCCGGTTGATAGAGTTCTTCGCGATTTTGTCCTGGGTAACTGTCTGATAGCAGCAAACATTTAGCACCAACCAATAGAAGAAAACAGTTATCTCTCCAATATTTAACCAATGAAATAGTAAGTTTTCCCGACGCCGAACAGGTTATAACGACATTTTTCGGCTGAAACAAGTGTCTCTTAACTTGCTTTCCCATTTTTCCTAAGATAAGAGAAAAAACGAGCGATAGCGGTTTAAAACGCTTCGACTAACGTTTAACTCACCTCCCTGCTCTTGCAAACATAAATAAATCGTTTCTAAGAGGCGTCCGTCTAATGAGATAGTTGGCTGGAAAGTGTAAGAGTGTGTAGATGCATTTTCCGACTGAACACCGTTCATAAGATGTTGGACAATAATCCTCTCAATCATACCTGTGTCGACTTCTCGACACAAGGAAACCATATCATCGAAATACGTTGCCATGGGTTCATCAGGTTGTTGTTTTCGTTGAAGTAATTCACTAAATTTTGTTTGAGATTTCATGGTTGACGAATATCGACCCCGAAAGAACGTTTCAAACTGAAACCATGTAGTAAATTCTTGATCGTCGAACCATGTACCGGCCGATTGTGATAGCTTTCCCCGGACAATTTCAAGACGTTGAGCATCGGTTATGTCAGTGTCAGTTTTAGTTAAATTTTTAATTCTCTTCAAGAATTGTTCGATATCCTCTGATGGTTGACCGGAAAAACTGGGTAAATCATTGAAACGAGCTTTTCTGGATAATGTAAGCAATTCGTTGGACGACATGGTCGAGATTGTTGGTGTCGAAACTGTTGTCTGATTTGACAAATCAGGAGGAGACGTATTTATCGGACTTGGTAATAATTGTGTCTGACGAGAACAGTTTGTAATGATACCATGTGATAGTAAAGGTTTATTGTGTTTCTTAACGTTTAATCTTGTTCCTTCGGCCGTGTCGAATTATTTTCCACAAAAAAATGCTTATTTGAGTTTATCGAGATACTACTTGTATCGGGAGACGATTTTTAAGAGGTTATAGACATTTGCAAAAAACCGTGCATGATCCGTGCTCATTATGAGCGTTAAACAAAAATCAAAAAAATTTGTCGCCACAAGTCAGAATTAAAAATAAACGATCTTCCTTACGAAAGATCCAAAATGAAACTTAAATGATTTTCCTTTCGAAAAATCTCCATAAAACGATCACAAACGCTCGCGAAACGTTCGATTTCCGGTCGAGCACGGTAGATTGGAGGAAAATGGTTGCTCAATTGCTTCGACAAGAGTCAATAGTGGCAGGAAACTTCGACATGTTTGCACTGTTATGTTTCCCTGGCTTTTTCTCTGAGCCCTGTAGCCGAAGTCTGAAAGAAAATTCTCGTACCTCAACGTGATTACTTTTAATTCGAGAAACGTAATGAGTCTGCCTTACGGCCGGCTCCTGATCTCTTGAGATTGGTGTAATTTGATCTAAACTGATGTGCTTAATTCCCGGTTCTTCTTTCTCTTACGATGTTAATGTTGGTTGAAAACTAATAGAATCGCCAACTGAAAGAGAAATAGCGAGATCGCCAAATATCAGGGTGTTCCTATATGCTTGAAATAAATGCCGAACTAATCTCTTTATATTTATTCAGAAGTAGAATAATACTAAACAATAAAGTGAATAAAACACAATAATCTAAACGATACGAAGAAATGACGACGACTGACTGAAAAACACGAGAGTGCATAACTATATATATGTATGTATGTATATATATCTTGCTATAGACACAAAAAGAACAAAGGACACAATGATCACATGTTATATGATCATTGAAAAACCGGACGATAGAAAAGGAAAAAACTTGTACAATGGTGAAGAACGGAAAAAAAATCACTTGTATAAAACGTGACCGAAACGAAAATGAAAAAACAGAAACTAACAAAATCACACGCTGTGGACAAGGTCCTGTAACACATGGAGTCTGGCTAAAACAAACACAGACAGCAGCGACTTATCAACTGAATTTTGCATAGGGAATGGTCATTATAGTCTAAGCATTTTTCATAAAAACTGTATATATTAAATTTCTCAATGAAATATGTGGCGATTCACGTGAACAACAAGGTAGTTTACTTAAGATGAATTGCTCGATCCGTTAGCTTCATCATCCGAGCAGCAGTGTCAGCCACAAATTTAATCGATAAGCTGTCATTCACAATCGATAAATTATACTCAGCTCTTGAAAGTCAACTAAAATTCGATGTTAATCATCAACAGCAGCTCATCAATCCTCTATCTTCGGCACTTCCGTTATTACCAATAATAATAATTCTGAATTACAATTATGTATAATTGCATCTCGTCTACAACAATCTCAGCCACAGTCATCTATTTGTGTTACAATGACTGGATGTAGAATCGTTAGGGATTTAGAACCTGAAAAATTATTGGTGGGTGCTAAAAAATTTGGTGTAAAAATTCGTACTATACGTGGAGCTACAATAAAACAACTGATAAATCTGATGAACAATAATACAATTGATCAGCATTTTAACAATTCATCTCGTGCTATTATTTCAATTGGCTCAATCGACATGAAACAAACAGATTCAAAAGCTGCAATTGATGGAATTAACCAATTAATTTTAGCAATAAAGCGTAAACGTCGATATATTAAACCTGTATTTGTGACGATTCCATCTCAATTTGACAGCAGTTAAAGCCAGCCCTACAACAGCAGCTTAATCAAGACATAGAAGACTTTAATCGTCAGTTCTTAACTTTATCTAATGTTGATATTATTGGTTGCAAATTTAACCGAAACATGTCGACTCCTGATTGATTTGCAAAACAGTTCTCCTTTTTCTCCTAGAACTATAATTGCACATAACCTGGTCCATTGTACCCCTATTTCGACTCTATTTAATTTCTCTACTCGAAATAGTGCTGCTTCTGACCTAGTTAGTCAAATAGTTTGTAGTTTTTCTCCTCCACCGCTTATAGGTCCTCCTCTTTTTCGTCTGTTATCAAGCTTAAATCCTGTCGCGCTTGTCTTTGTACCAATGACCTCTAGGTTTTTATTGTTTTCTCATAATATTCAGAGCTTAACCAAGAACTTTGACGCTTTAGAACAATTTTTAAATTACCATAAACCTGTTGTTATTTGTTTGCAGGAAACATTTCTGTCTTCTGTTATTTCAGACAGAGGGATTGCTATGCCTAATTATTGTCTTTATCGTTGTGATAATCTTCGCATCCATGGAGATGTAGCCATATACATAAAAGTGACATTTCTCATCGTTTTATTTGGTCTTCGGCAGTCACTGAATCACGTCTTTTTTCTTTGGCAGTTAACAATCATACTTTTTATGTATGCAACTTATATCGTCGTCCTCGTCGACCTATCATTCTTTGATAGTTTACAAAAATTTCTCCATTCGCACGCAAAACAAGACTTTTCTATTATCTTGTCAGCTGATTTCAACGTTCGTACAGTTAAGCCTCTAGTATCAGTAGGGCTGCGCTCTTATCGAAATCTTGAATTTACAATTATTTTAACCTGTCTCAGATGATAACTCTTTGTTTACATTCTAGATTTATTTCATTAATTTAATGTTAGTTTAATTTCCACTTCTGATACTTTTATCTTGCGAGGTGCCATTCCAAGTTAAAACGTCGGTGCATTTTTCTGATATAAGATTATTCCTACCCAGCGAAAGACAGAATGAATTTTAAAAGATGATTGAATATCAACCTTGCTTTTGCGTAATCTATTAGTCAATAAAAACGCTGTTTGAAATAATTCAGTTCAAAGAGGAAGTTTATGTACTGACCGAAATTTTATCATCTAAATAGTTCATGGCTTACTTGCTCCCTAGGTTCTGAAAGAATGTTTTTGCTACATGTGCTTCGTAGTTGGTTCCTTTTCTCTATTGTGCACTTTTGTATCGCCCTTTTATCAATAATATTTAATAAACATACAACATAAAAGAAACAACAATTTAAAAAAAACACAACAACCAAATATTAACCCTTCGTCTGTGTCCTCATTTTGGACCTTCATCTGTGTCGTGGGGTCCGAGTGGACCCAGCTAGAAAATACTATAAAAACTCAGTGTGTTCTTTTCTTTTCAAGCTATGCATTCATGTAC